CATGTTTCAATGCTCCACTTGTAAACAGCAAGTTGCCTTTGAGCCAAAAGGGTTTTTAAATGTTTTGCTTGGTCAAAAAAGTTTTTGTTTTGACTCCAAACAATTCCCGCCGCTCCCCCCGAGTTTTTGGAACTGCCACTCAACCAAAAAGTCCATTTTGTCCTACCCCCAGGCTGCTCTCCTACGGCTCCTGAGGTGCAGGACAGCTGTCCCCCCTCACCCCAACTTCAGGGGGCGCCCAGTGTGCCGGCCAGCCTGGGCCCACGCTGCTCCGAGCAAACAAACGCAGCACCTGGCTGGACTCAGCCGCTCCCTTTCCTGGAAGGACTCGCTACAGCAAGGGCAGGGCTTATTCATCCCTCCTGATGGGAAAGAGGGGGCATAAATGGAAGCAGATGCAGCTGAATATGATGAGCAGCCGGCTCCACTCCTGTCCCACGGGGCGGGGATGTTGCAATAGTGGAGTCGCGGAGGCTCACCCAGTGCAGGATGCGCTTGGGCCGACCCAAGCCAGAGCAGTTTGCACCTCAGTAGCGTTTTCCTCCCCTTTGCCCTGGGGTGAAGGAGCCAGGCCCAGGGGCTTGTCCCACGATGTGTCCACAGGGCCGTGTGCATCTCTGGGGGGAGCCAGCTGCTTTGTGCCCAGCTGGGGCACTCAGATACAGCAGCCTCCTTCCTTCCTCTTCTGTGCCCTGTGCCAGCCCTGCTGTGGCCGGAGACATGCCGTGAGTCCGAAAGGTGCAGAACGCCGCGGGACGTGCACCCCATTAGGAAGCCTGAATCAATGTGGGCACCCCCCCACCCCGGGAGCCAGCAGCAGGCCCGGGAAAGGGACCCTGGGCCCAGCCCCCTTCACTGAGAAGCTGCTTCCAAAGACTTAGAACCAAAAAGCGGGTCCTGCGAGGTGTTTGGTTTTAAACTGGACGGTCCAGTACTTGAGCTTTCTACTCGGGAAACAAATGGAGGAAATAGAAATGAGAAATGGAACTGTCCGGTGTGTTCTAGATCCGATGGAATGTAGCGTGTGATGCAATGTCAAGTGTGTCTGGTATTTTTGTTGAAACCAGCTGGCAACCCTAGTCCTGCTCACAGGCGGGCTGACAGCCTCCCCAGGCGCCGCTCTGTTTTTGCAGCCAGGGCTGCGCAGGGCGAGTCCTGACGTACTGCAGGCCCCTGTTGCTAGTCCAGCCCCTGCCAACCACGGGAATTCGCTTTTCAAGCCCCACATGCCGCAGGGGCTGGGCTGGGGGTGTTCCTGGGAGAGACGTGCTGAGTGCAGAAGTGGGTTAAACTAAACGAGCCAGGACACAGTCTGCAGAGAGTGGCCACGCGGGGAGCTGTTCTAGATTTGCTCTTGCATTTTAAATTCAAACCCTGCCTTAATGTGGAATCGCCATTTGAACATGGGGACACATTCAGGGAGCCGGTACAGATCTCTGCCCAGTTAGCTGAGCCTGAGTTCTACTCCCGGCTCGCTCAATGACTTGGGCAAGCCACTGACCCGCTCTGGGCCTCAGTTTCTCCACCAGTCCTGAACCTTAGCTTCCTAGCCCATGGGGCTCTGCTACTGTCTGTTCACAAAGAGCTTTACTGGGCCCCAAGTGCTGGCAGGAAGGGCAGGGGTCACTGCGGAAGTGGAGGCCGGGCTCTCCAGCATGTTCATTGACTGGACCCTCTGGGGCCGGCCCTGTCCCAAGCCAGGTGGGTTTGTGCCAGACCCCATGGACAGCCCAAGCTGCCGGTTGCTCGATGCCAGAGCAGGGCCCCCCGAGCCTCCCAGCTGGCAGCAGGTTATTGCAGTCGGGCTCCGAAGGTTGATCCCAGCAGGACAAGGGGTAGATCAGCTGCCCTTCTCCAGCTGAGAGCACCATGTCGCTGGCTTCGGCTGGGAGCAGGAACCAGAGCAGGCTGATGAGCTGCGGGTGTAGAACAGGGCTCTCCGCCCCCCAACCGGATCTGGGCTTGGCCCGAGCAGCACCCAGCATGACCGGCCTGGGCTCTGGTGCCAGAACCATCCCGGGGAGGGTCCCGCGGTAGAGCCCTGCTGCTCGCCAGCCCCCCACACGGTGCTTGTGTAACTCCGCCCCAGCCCGGAGCGGCGCTGTGGGGCTCAGATCTCGCTCCAGTCAAGCTCCTGGCTTTGCCAGAGTCCAGAGGCTGAGCAGCCCAAGCCCCCCGTCTGGGGCGTCAGGCCTGGGGAGACATTCCCGGAGCTCAGGGAGGCCCATGGTGCAGCCACGCTGAGGTCAGGGGCAAATTTGTGCTGACCTGCTCCAATAGACCCGAAACTCCGCCCATCTCCCAGCTCCCTTTTGGATGGTCCACACTGATGCCCTCAGCTCCCCTCTGGCCGGCTCCCCACAGCTCTGGCAGGGAGGCCAATGGAGAGGCAGGCACGTGAGCTCGGCCCGGAGCCGGGTGCGCACCCGGCGAGCGGCGGGGCCCTCGGGCAGCGGGGGAGCTGAAAACAAGTTTCTTTAAACAGTGCGCAAATGGGAGCCACAGACTCGTGTAAACAGCCCGTGACCTGCCCTCGGGAGCGTGGTGCTAATGCAAAGCAGCTGCCCGGCACTGGACCCGCACGGCCCATCGCTGCAGGGCCTCTCTGAGCCCTTCTCCACACGGTTGAGACTCGACTTACAGCCACACAGGCCCCAGTGGCCTCCAAAGCTGGACTGGAACCAGCAACCTACAGGGAGACACCGTCTGCCTGTATCTACGTTCTGGGCTCCCAGGGTCTGCTGCACCTCGGTAGGCAGGGGCCTGCAGGCCAGGTGCTTGGGGAGAGGACGGTGATGGTGTCGCTTTTGTACAAGGGACGTACAAAGTCTGTTTCCCGCATGCCGCAGGAATCGAACAGCGGGCCCACAGCCCCAGGACGGAGCCAACAGCTCTCCTTGGCCTATTGCCGGGGGGTTTGCTGCGTTTCTCTCGCAAGGGCCCCAAGCTAATCAATCCTAGAGTGGCC